TATGCATTTCATTATAAACGTATCGATTTTTTAAACACGGACGTTCAAACGCGAAATCAGAAAATGAGAACGGCAACTAGAGTTAAAATTTATTGGTAATTTTCTAACATTTCCTCAATAAGCGTCTTCGTAAGTTAGACTATTAATCCAAAGTACTTAAAATTCAACAACATATTATATTGATTGTAATATTTACTAAAATTTTCAGTAGCTTTGTTTCGGTCAATTCTCATTGGTCAGTTTTGTATCACGTCTATCAAAATCGTAGATAATTCTATATGCATGTAAGTTTGTAAAGGCATACACAATTACGAATACACATTACCATTCGATGCCAGCTTAGATATACAATAATCTTTAGAAAACTTACATACATATAGAATTATCTACGGTTTTAATGCACGTGATACGTGATTGACCAATGAGAATTGGTCCAAACAAAATTGAAAATATCAAAGTTCTGTCATTATATCTGTATTTTATCAATCTTGACGAAGCCTTAGTAAAAGTGAAACTTGTTAGATTGATATAATTGTCCTATTTGGCCTTTATCTTATCACGCACGCACACACACACACACATATATATATATGTATGAAAAATTTTACGTACGTATAAATATGTTTCTTCCACAGGTGTTATATATACAGTGCTCAATGTTATGAGACAGACATATATATATATATATGTGTGTGTGTGTGTGTGTGTAGAGAGAGAGACAGGGAGAGGGGGAGAGGGAGAGAAAGTGATTGCAAAATGATTTAATCATACAGTTTGAATATATATACTTCTTTTATGTTTCGTTTAATCTTTTAAAATATTTAAAAATCCCGCTGCAATAATTTGAGGAAATGTTTTTTTTTAATTTATATAATATATATCCACACCACTTTAGTTAATTTTAGAAATCACCGCTTAACCCACCAATTATACAAACACTCTTTAGACATTTTTGAAGCTAATTCTTGGGAGAAATAAATAAATTCTCTTTGCAAAAATGATTGATAGTTCAAATGTTTTACATTGGATCGTTTTTTTTTTATCCAAGTTTTCAGTTCAATCGCTAAATTTTAACTTGTGTTATATTGAAAGAAACATATTTATATGAATGATTATTTTAAGAAAATTTCGAAGAATTATTTGATTGTTTTAAAAGTAATTAGAATCGTATTAGTAGTTAAGCTCGTCTGAACTAAGCAAATATTTTTATGTAGGATGATGCTTAGAAAATTTAAAACAAAATTTTAGAAAATAGTCACACTAAGTTTTCCCTAAAACGTAACATTTACAAAATCTTATTACTGTGGACTCCTCAAAATGAATATGAGTCATGGCGATAAAATCTGTGAAAATGATACACACCCATTTATTTGCCCATGGAAAAAAGAGTCCAAGGGTAAATAGTCCGAGTAGAGGTCCACCAATCATCCCAAAAAGAGACAACGCAGCCTGAAATAATAATAATAATAATAGAATCATATCAAACTACAGGAAAAGTATAATTGAAAAATGGTACAACATTAACCATTTCTGACATTGTCGGAGCATGGCACAAGTGACTTTCCACAAATGTTCAACTTTCCGTCGCCAACGACAGATACTTATCAAATTTTATAGGGTAGGCTGGACCTTCTAATACAGTTTGGCAGGGAGACTATCAAAGAATTCATTAAACAAAGGGGTAGAGGCAAGGGGGAAAAAGTTATACATTTCCGGTCATCTCTCAACCTACTAGCCACTAAAAGATAAATTTTAAATTTTCACTCAAAGAGAAAACAGTCAAAGGGCAGAACATTGTTAGAAAATTACTCCTGTAGCCATGGAAAAAAATAGTGCCTTCTCGTCTATATGACAGTGTCATCAGATAAAAAGATATTTGTTAAACAATATGACAAATTAAATGAATATGAATCAATCTTGAAATTGAAAATATTTCGCACCTGAAAATTGCTATTATACCTATAATAATTGGAATTTTTAGTACACTAAAATGGTACAGCCAAGAACATTAAAAAATCCTTGGATATCTCTGTTTACAAGAAATTCAAAATATTGAACCCTATAGAACAGTTCATTTACTCAGGATATCAATGTTATGAAAATACAACTACTTTTCATGTTCAGTATCACTTGACATGAGAATTTATGCAAACAGAATGCATATATTTACGAGGTGTCGGGAAATGGCTCGATTAGAGTTGGACTAAACAGAATAATAATAATAATAATATGGAAGATAAGCTTCTTCATGGTCAATACCTGCCCGTATCAACAAACTGATGCAGACAAACCCCGTACCCATCAGTGGTTACGTAGTGCAAGGTTAAAAGCTGAAATCGAAGTTTTTATTCTTGCTGTAAAGGACCAATGCTTGCTAACCAAGCACACATACTGAGAAATTATGTTAACCCGAAATGCAGATTCTGTGATAAATATAAATATTTCTTCACTCCTTATGTAAATTTAATAAATATAAGAGATGGCTATAAAAAGGCAATGTTGATTATTTGCGGCTATCTGTCTATATCTCCGAGATGAGGTATTATGATTACTTACATTATTTACCTTACTCAGACTGTTATCCTCATCTCCATTGCCATATTCACAACATTTCAATCGTTGTACGCCCCGGCCTTTTTCAAGTGATTGGAATTTCGAAGTGAACCCTTTATTTCGTCCACTGGGGTAGATTGTTCTAGTTCCGCGTGCCATGCCTCTTCCGGACCTCTTAGTTATTTCCCTTTAGCTCAACACTCCAAGTTTTTTGTTTCATCACTGCTGTGGCCGCAAGGACACGTGGTCCCGTGGATAAAAACTTTGGTTAGATCCAGTGACTAGACCCAAAAAGTTGTGAGTTCAATACCGGGCCACAGCAGTGGAGAGATGAGTAAGGGAAATAACTGAGATGAAGCATGGTACGTGGAATTAGAACAACCTACCCTGGTGGACGAAATAAGGGGTGCGGTTCGAAATTCAAATTAGCCGAAGCGTACAATAGAAGAATATAAAAAGTAAAAAAAAATGTTATGATATAAAAAATATAATAAAAAAGTTTTAAAATATCAAAAATTGAAAAAATATATTAAAAAAATAGAAAAATATGCAAAACACTTGTAAATGTTTATATGCATATTGTTTGTATTAATTTGAAAGGGAGGAAAGGAGAGGGAAAATGAGTGCATTCATCTATTAGATTGAGGGGAGTTGTTGCGAAATAATTCCCCTTTTCCAACTCATAGACGAAACACACAGTTGAATGCTGGGATTTTTTCCTAGCCAATAAGATAGGCCACTTCTCAGTCTCATTTGATTCAGTTCCGCTCTTCATTGTGGAATTCACTTCCCGGTGTGCTTGTTAAACTCTCTGCCTCGGACAGAGAGGGACCTAGACGAGGCTATGTCGAAAGGCGGAGTCTCGTCTGGAGTAAGACAGCTACCCAACCCCGTGTATACGGAGTCGACGGGGAATTTTTGCCCGAGCCTACGGGCTCGGTTCACCCCACATTAAATTCAGCCTTGTACCACATCTGAGCGCGTGGGAAGGTTAGTGAATATCTTCAGTTCCGTTCTTGTCTTGAAGCCAGAACGCTGCGATGGATCGCTTGTCTGTATCCCCTTTCATGCGTTAACATTAATTATAAGTTTGTTAACTTTTTGCCATATTACTGTTGCTTTGACTTATTAGTGATATTTTGATTTATTACTGTTAATTTGCCTTGCATATATTGTTTACTCGCTTAATGTTATTTTTTACCCTGTTCTTTTCTTTTCTTTTCTTTTCTCTTCTTATTGCTTATTGCAAACTTTGTCAGTTCTGTTTCTTTGATACTTTGTGCTCTAGAAATGAAAGAAAACAAACATGAGAAAAGCATTATTCATTATGTTATTACCTGCAAGACTCCACCGAGCAGGGAAGCGACATAGGCAAGACCGAGGCACAGGAAGCCAAGAATGAGAACTGAAATAGAAAGGGGAAATTTTATTTATTTTTTTTTTTTAAGTATTACGCCCCGAGCAAGGCGTGAAGCGACTAGGATGCAGGGGGTGCAGAAGATTTGGAGCAAGAGCAGATAGGAGTGATAGAAGAGGAGAGGGATAGTGGGTAGATCAAGTAACTGGAGGTGTCGATTGACATTACATTTGAATAGTTGGAGATTATAGCTCTCAGGGAAACAGTAATTGGGAAGGGTGTTCCACAGGCGAGAGGTGCGAGGTATGAAGCTATTGGAGTAGAAGAGACGGCTACATTTAAAAGTTTCTACAGTGTAAGGGTGGGAGCGGGATGCCAGCCTCGTAGGGCGCTTGAATTCATGGAGTCTGGGAACCAGTGAAAGCAGCTCATCGGAACAATTACCATGAAAGTATTTGTAGAAAAGACAGAGAGAGGCGACGGCGCGTCTGTGAGAGAGTGACTGTAGACGAGACGCCAGTTCAGATTACATATCCGTCTCTGGATCTTGTCAAGAACTCCGAGGTAAACAGAAGGTGCACCAGACCATATATGGCAGCAATACTCCATGCAAGGCCGAATTGTGGATTTGTATATTTGAAGTATCGACTCCGGGGAGAAAAATTTCCTGGCGCTGCACAGAGAGCCAACTTTCCTCGCGGTGGAAGAAGCAATTGACTCAATGTATTTATTCTATCTCAGGTCAGCAGTCAACGTGAGACCGAGCAGACGCAGGGAGTTGCTCTCAAGAAGTTGACTATCAGACATTCTAATGAGGGGCAGGGAAGGATCTCTATGGTGATTAATAGAGAGTAGTTTAGTTTTTGAGGCGTTAAAGTTGACCAGCCAATTCTTGCCCCAATTAACAACCGATTTGAGGTCCATTTCAAGACGCACGGCCAGGTTAGTTTTGTCACCGACACTAGATTTGTTTTTGAGGCAGGAGTAAATTTTATCATATATATCAGTTTATCAGTTTTGTGTTCAACACACACATTAGTGCGTTTGCGTGCACACATTTTTTTCAAGCGCACACTTATATAGACAAAAACATTTAGTGGGGATCTTTCCGTTACCTTGCTTTTTGTTTAATATGAAGGAATAAAAATGAAGATGGCTTCCGCTTAAGTGGACAATTTCCTTACAGATTAAGAAAAGGTTTGAAGCAAACAAAATGTAGTTCTACTGATGAATAGTAAAAAAAAATTAGGAATCGAGGAACTTTTAAGACGAATAAGAATTACTAAGAATCTACTGCTAGCTAAAGGTCTGTGATTGTGTGCATACTTGTAATTAGAAAACGACGGATGAAATTTTTGGGACACATAATGAGCAAAGAAGGTTTGGAGAATTTAACATTCACAAGGCGCACTGAAAATAAGAGAAGCAGGGTGAGGAAACAATAAATAACCAACTTGACAACTCTTGTATTGGAGAAATACCAGAGGTACCACAAAGAACGTTGTAAGAATATCGATTTATTTAGAACAGGAAAACATAGGTTGGTTGATTGATTTTATTTAACGGCATATCAGTACTTGTTATTAAAAGCTGAAATCTAAATCTTTTTGAACACATATTTATGGCTTCAACTAGATTTATTTTGAACTCAATTGTATGCTTTCAACTAAAGATAAAATGTATTGTTGGTCATTTTACTATATTGCTGAACATTTTACTATAAATGCATATTACTGGTAATCTATCTATAATTCTAAAAGTCTGTGATTGTGTGCATACTTGTGTGGTGTGTCCGTCCGGCGCATAATGATTTAAGTTGATAAGATTTAAAAATACGAGTTGTTTATACAATAAGTATTTTTATTTTAACTTTCTTCAAACAGACAATTTTTTAATTCAAATTTTTTTGAGTTGAAGACAAACATAAAGAAATTCCGATTTGCTGTTTCGTCCAGTTGTTTGTAGAGTGATTATTTATATTTCAGTTTTCTTTAAACAAGCAATATTTTAAATATTTAAAAAAAAAAAATTTGGCATATTTAAAAAATATTTTCAAGTGGATATAATTTGAAAATATTTTTTTGGCTTATTAATTTTTTTTTTTTAAAGTTAATCGGATTTAAAGTTCAAGTTTACCCCGGAAGTTCTATTCTTATTAAAAGTTGTAAAGTTAAAATCAGTAAAACGTTAAACATTAACTTGTTAACCAGAGCAATGATGACACGAACGAAATGAAATAGATAACTGAGTCATTATAAAATTAACTTTCATTTCAATGGTATGATGAAATCAACTTCAATGTTTTATAACCTGAACCATCAGTGATCCAACGGTCAGGGATAGTCTAGTTTTACTATAAATAGGTTTTTGTTTTTGTTTTGGGTTCACTATTTTCCCAAAGCTGGTACCCTAACAGGTGCTACTACCCCGGATCAAGTTGGACATAGGGACAAAATCAGTTAAGAGGTGGTTCCATGCTCCTTAAAACCTCACATCTTCCGATCAGAGGCCTTGCTACCGGATGTAGTCTATCGTCATACGAAAAGATAGGAAGCTGTGGAGAGTCATGATCCCCATGTCCTGAAGAAGTATGGTAAAGAAAGAGGGAGAGAGAAAGAGAGGGAAAGAGAACGGGAGAGAGAGAGAGAACTGTTGAAACTACGATAAAAATGCACAGCTATAAAACATTTCAATTATAAGAAAAAAATTATTGATGAATTTGAATTAAGAGTACAGAGAAAAGAAACTGCAGGAACTCTTCCCAAATGTAAAGTCTTTTCTAACGGGTAGGTCCCTGAAGGTAGTTATTAATGGCAAGTCCTCCGGGACCCTGGCGGTCAACACAGACGTCCCCATAGCGTTCACTTCTCGGGCCAACCCTCGTTTTGCTTTACATAAGTGATCTGCTTAAGATTTTACTCATATTTGTGAACCTCTATGCCGATGATACGACGATATATGGCTGCACCTCTAAAACTCTCGATGATCAGAGATTGGCAGCTGATCTCTCACCTGATCTACCACTAACTTTTTAGTGGGGGAAAAACTGGTTTGTTACATTCAGAGCCTCGAAAAGAAAGCGTTACATTCAGAGCCTCGAAAAGCAAACGTTACATTCAGAGCCTCGAAAAGCAAGCGTTACATTCAGAGCCTCGAAAAGCAAGCGTTACATTTAGGGCTCGAAACCGATTTTATAAAACCGGTTAAAACCGTTTGGTTTGGTTTGGTTTGGTTTGTTTTACGGCATATCAACCTCAATGGGTTATTTAATGCCGATAAATTTTTATTGATGGTAATTTTTTTTTTCGAAAATGTTTAGCTGGTAATATTCTTTTTCCAAAAATATACTGCTGGGAATAATTTTTCTTCAAAAATGTACTTCTGGTAATTTCTTACAAAGTATTTCTGGTATTAAAACCTATTTTTACACTTTCATAGTGTTTTGACCCCAGTTTTGGGGTCAACTATTTACCCATAGCTGGGATCCTAACAGGTGCTACCATCGCGGACCAGGGTGGACCTGGAAATACCAGCAATTAAGAGGTGGTTCCACGCTCCTCAAAACCTCATGATCATAGGCCTTGCTGTTGGACGTAGTTTATCGTCCTACCCAGGACGGGGTTAAAACCGGTTTTCATATGATGGTCACTAAAACCGAAACCGATTTGCCAAAACCGATTATAATGTTTGTAGTTTCCGCTTTCCGTGAAACATTTCTCTATTTTTCCTTTGAAGAAATATTGTTATAACTGCAGCCAGTCAGCTGAGTGCTGTCTGTTTCATTGAAACAGATCGCAAAATATCAATTCTTACCTTCCCGATACTTTAGATCAACGCCTTGTCATTTCCTTTCCCTAACCCTTCGCCAATTCGTAGAATTTGAAGGTTACAGGCTTTATTCATAGCAGGCCAATGGAACGCTATTAGTGTTAAGTCAGGTGATCTTTCCCGTTGAGTACACGTAATAACCAGTTCCAGATTTATTTCAAGGAAGTAACACTAACTCAATTTTCTCTCTATTTTACAATAGTTTTTATAGTGCTATGAGTATTATAGTATTCCTTTTTCATTCTCCTTAGTCCTAACATGATAAAAAGAAAAACAAATGTGTGGAATTATTTCGTTCGGAAAAACAAAGATGAAGCTCAATGCATGAAGTGTGAGATGACCACGAAGTCTTCTGGAGGATCTAACACGTTTCTGATCTTGCATTTGAAGAAAATTCATCAAATCGACATGCAAACCAGCCTCCTGTGAAAATGGCAAAACAACGGAAGACTTTTTTTTAACAAAGAAATCTATGGAAGAAGAGATTTCAAAGTTAGCTGCCGTAGATAGATTTCCTTTCAATTCCAAGAAGCAATTTTATACGGACAAATCTTCATGATCAGAGGGGCAAATATGATAAATTACCGCCAACAACTGCAAATGGAGCGAGGAATATGGTAATGAATTACTACATAACCAAAAAAGAACTTATTCATTATTTTGAAAAAGAAGTAACGCTGGGCATTCGCTACTCATTGATATTAGATGAATACACATCAATTCAAAATAAGCAATATATGGACATAAATGTTCATGCGAAAGACAACCATTGGTCGTTGGGTCTTATTAAGATCAATGGTTTCCTTAATAGCAGGAGAACTAAGAAATTTGTGAGAGGACATCTTGAATTTGGATTGGATTTGGATAAACACATTGTTGGCTCCAGAACCGATGGTGCTGCTATGATGGAGAGAAGTTTGGAAAGAAAATAAGACCTGATCACCAACAATGTATCGCAAATTGCATACATCTGTCAGTTATAGATATTCTTTACAAAAAAATACTGAAAATATCTCCTCAGCTGATGAGACTGATGAAAAAGAGATTATTATAACAGACGATAGTGATGATCAAGCCCAAAAGACCGGATTATTCAAACAGATTTAGTTCACGAGAATGCTTGTTTCCCCCAGTCAAAACCTGAATTTAACAAAGTCTTAAATTAGGTAAGATTAGGTAAGAAAAATTTCAAGACTTTTCCTAAAATCACCTACAAAAAATGAAATTTAGCAAGATTTTGTACGAGCGAACTTCGATAACAAAGAGTATAAACTTATTCTTGATTGCAGGTGAAATAACACGTTCCATACGATAGAGAGATTTTTAAAATTAAAAAGCTGCATTCCAAATGCTTTACGAGCAGAACTTTCAACAGAAGCCGTAGCTGACGATAAATGGAAAACTCTCGATTTATTTTATGAAATTCTACATCCAGTAGAGATTATTTTGAAGGCTATTTGCGCTGATGGTACGTTTTTACTCAAAGTGGAATATTCTATAGAATTTTTATTGGATAAACTTAATATGGTTCTAAAATCTCCGTGAAAGACTTCTGCATCGGTATAATAAGAAAAGAAATGTTGAAACCTTGACTCTCTTATTTACACAATCCAAGGAAGTTTAAAGACGAATCAAGCTCTGGACATTTTCTTTTTCGGACAGAAAAATTCTTAAGGAAGTATGCTGAACAGGCATAGAGGAGATTATTTCCTGGACATCAAGAGGAGAACACAACAGAATTATGCGAAGAAAATGAAATAGAAGGAAACCTAAAAACAAGTGTTACTGTTGTCCCATCTACTTCTGAAGCTGATGATGAACTCATGCATGAATATACTAGCGCAATGAAGAAAATGAATGAAGAGCCCAAGATAGTAACAAATGAACTTGAAATCTACAAAGAATTCAACAAATATTTTGAAGCAACTTCGAACAGAAGCTAAAATATTGAAAGAATTTATAGAGCATTGCTTATAATCAAAGTAACTAGCGCCCAGTCAGAAAGAGTTTTTTTCAATTACCGGACTTTTCAACACAAAAATTAGAACAAGTTTGTCCACTTAATGCATTGTGTTTTTTGAAAGATCATTTCCAAAGGAAATTTAATCATCAAGCAGATGATTAAACTTGATTGATTCTTAGAAATACAAGGACTAATGATTTATGTAAGTAAATTCTGAATTTGTCTTTTATTTCTTTTAGTATCTGTTTTTCGAGAGATTTCATCCATACATATGCACGAAATAAATGATATAGGTTTGTTTTGAATCTATTTCTTTAAATTTTAAAAACCAGGTGGACTAAACATTTAAAAGCCTCTTAGTTTTTTTTTTTTTAGTTTTTTTAATTTTTTGTTTTGTTTTAGTAACTAACATTTTCATTCGCTTATTTCTTATTTGGTTATAATGTAGGGGAAGTGGTTCCTTTTTTGTTAATTTTTACATTCTCGCATGCTCTATATTAAAGAATGGCGCACACACAAAAAATGCAATAAGATAATTAATGAAACGTAAACAGAAATAAAGACAAATTTTTTCGCTGCTTTCGCAAATCTTGGTTGCACTATTGGCACAAAATCATTTTTATATTACGGTGATTGGTGTTTTATATATAAACATTTTATGTATATTCATTCTTCTACAATAAGACAAATATCGTCGCCTACACAGTGTAAAAATTTAAATATCATAGACTTGATTGCTCTATGTTGAAAACGGTGCACAAAAGAAAATAATTCCTCAATTTAATTCTTTTAACAATAACAAATTAATCTTATAATTACTCACGTTTTTTCTTTCATTGTATCTTTAATTTCATTCATTTTTAACATGGAATGTGAGAGGGTGTAAATATTTAAAATCCGGATCACATTTTAAAGTTTTACATCCTTGCACACTCGGTTTTGAAAATGGTGCTCAAATGAAAATTTTTGAAAATCCTAACTTTTAAATGTTAGGGCCGTTTCCATTAGGGGATCGTTTTAGCATAAGCTTGAATGACACAATGACTCGCCCCACACCGGCCGGAAACTTTGAAAATAATACATTTTTCCGAAATTTTTCGCGATAATAGTAAGTTTGGCGTCTAATTGATATCAATTCATTAAAAAAAGAAAATAAAAGAAGGTCAGCGAGCAATGCTCTAAGTCCGTCAAAACCGTTTTTTTAACCGGTTTTGAGAATGACTAACACTTAAACTCGATTTTGAGAATTATCGGTATTTTTTTTTATCGATCGGACCCCGAACTACCGCCAGTCACGATAAATGTATGTCACCTCGGTGAGGCTCCGTGCTTTGAGAGACTATTAAACCTTAAGCTCACGTATGACCTAAAGTGAAATGTGTACATACAATCGATCGCAAAAGATGTAGGTAAAATGGTCCCTGTATCGCTTTAGTACCTGACTCCATATAGTATTCTATAACTTTACAAGAGTCAGATCAAGCCTAAAATAGAGTACTGTTGTCATATTTGGCCTGGAGCAGCTCAGTCTCCATTCTCCAGTTTTTATAAGAGTCCAAAAGCGTCTACGAGTTCTTGTGGATGACAAATTATTTTCCACTATCCAACCTCTCTTTCACTATCGTTGCTTCCTTGGAAAGTGCTCAGACGAATTACATTTCTTGGTCCCACCGGGTTTAACTTTCACTGCTAGGACCCGCTATGCTATTGAATTAAATTGAATTAAAGTACCCCCAAGCTCTGTTCCATCTTCAAGCGAATTTTTTTTTTCGTTTGATGAAATAACTAATTCCAACAAATTTACGCGTTTTATAAGCATATTCATTATTAAAATATTAAAAATTATTTATTACTATGATTCCAACGGTAAAACAAGAGCTAAACTTCAATATAATTATTTGAATTAAATTGAATTAAAGTACCAATTATTCAAAAAATTAAAATTAGGGGCGTAACGGTTAATAATTATTCATCAATATCTCAGTTAAATTCACAGATGTCAAGTCAGGGTAAGGTTGGGGGTGTCTAAATTTAAAGCGGAAGATGACATCGTCTAGTCTGGTTAAGTGTCTATGGAGATTTATTTATGGTTTTATTTTATTTTTTATTTTTTTCTGAAAGGGTTTTGTGTATATAAAAAAAACTGTTATAAGTCGCTAACATTTGTTTTTTGACGACTTCATAAAGGGTTATCTTTTTTTTTGTAGGGCATTTAAACTATTTATTTAGACTATGGAGTTTAAAAATTATTTTATTGTTTGTTTGGTTTTATTCTATTCAATGCGAAAATTTGATGATGTCGGCAAAAAACCGTTAACTCATGTCTATTGTTTAATAGATTTTTATTATTTAGAAACTTAATGTGTAGTTTTTCATGTAGGCATAAAGGGCATGGGTCATTCCAAGTTTAACAAGTTCTAGTTTTGTTTATAATTTTCCATTTTACTTTTGGTGTTTTATTCATTTCCTTCAAATGCCAAAAATATTTAGATAGAGATGTCTGATTTCTTTTATTTATATTGTTGAAAGAGCACTTATGCTGCCTTCATCTGGTTTTAAATTCATTCTTCGTAGACCCAATGTATATCATATTAGTATTAGGACTGTCAATGGATGAGATAGTACATTGGTATACCACAGATTTTACGCGGCATTTATTTTCCAATGGGCATATATATATATATATATATATATATATATATATATATATATATATATATATATATATGATATGATATATAAAGTTGACACCAAAGCGGCGACAGTCTGCTTCAGACTTGAAAGCAATCTTCAGGTCACACACACTCACTCTCTCTCTCTCTCTCTCTCTCACACGAACACACACACACACACATATATATATAAATATACATTATCTTCTATGCGCATTTAAGCTGTAGGTGAGCATAGCTCACCAGAGATTTATGTGAACTCAGGTTAATTGTTCAAGTTATTAATAAAATGATTACCGAGTATTTTAGAAATCCATGTGGCCTTATTTTCTGGCATATCTTTGATAATATACGTCCTGATAACGTCTTCAAGGATAACAGTCGACAAGGAATTCAAACCCGACGAGATAGTGCTGAAACAAAAGGAGACTTTATAAAAAAAAAGTTAAAAAATTTCAAATCTGTTCATAAATTGGATTAAGTGTCGTTTTGTTCTCCACTGGTGGAAAGTAGAAATTGAAAACAATCAGGAGTCAAACGCATGCGCAGAGCAATAATGTGCATATGTGTAACGCCGTCATGTTTAATCAAGACCATCCTGTGGTCTACAAAATTAAATAAGGAATTTTACATAATTTGCATAAATAGACAGATGGTCACAAAATGGAGTAAAGAATAATGTTATAATTAATAAAAATATTTAGCTCAACATACTGAAGCATGTATTGTTATTTTAAAACTATGAAAGTTGGAAGAGAAAGCAGATTTTTAGAAAATAACACGATGTCCAGGCGGCCGGAATTAGATTCTATCAAAATATTTTCATGATTTAAAAGAAAAGAAAACGAAACCTGTTTAAAGTAATATCAATAAAAATGTAATTTTCTTAATCTATTATTTTAACTTCTTAAAAATTAGTTTCACATTGTCTAAGAAATATTGGTTACAAGAAAAAATTGTCCTTAAAAAAGCTACTTTTGCTTTTCAAAATATCAATTGACAACTGAAGATTCGATAAGTATTCTATCTATCTGAAGCTGTTTCTTTTTATCTATCTATATCAGGCTGTTTCATTCTTTCTTTCTTTCTTTCTTTCTTTCTCAGACCGTTTCTTCCTTTTTATCTATCTATATCAGACTGTTTCTTACTTTATTCTTTTCATTGTCAGTTTGCATTACCAAGTCATATTTTCAGAAGAAAATTAGTAAAAAACCAACAAAATGCAGAAAGCACTGGACGGCCATTTCGTCCTATATTTGGGACTCATCAGCAGTGCGCATCCACTACCAAGAATTGAAACCTGAACAGAAGAAACCGCAACAGAATGCAGGAAACATTTGAGGCTTCTTCTAGATTTGATGAATTAGTTATGATTATCTCAAATCCTCCTTAATTTCTATCCTTGCTTGAACCGGTTTTTAATGCTTTGGATGAAGCGGCTTGGGGTTAGAAGACGTGTCACGTGGGGGCACCGTCCTAAGGGTAAGGGAAACTCGGATGACTTCCACTACGGAATATATGAGCGAGCGGCGCTATATCGAGTCTAATTCGTTACCTCTTCGTCACACGTTGGTACAGTTGATATGACGTTTGCCTGATATCGTAACTGTCCTGGTTTTAATTTTCGGTAGTGGATGCACACTGCTGATGAGTCCCAATTATAGGACGAAACGGCCGTCCAGTGCTTTGGGAATTGGCCACCGGCACGAGGGCGACCTAAATCTTTGCTTCAAGGACGTCTGCAAAAAGGACATGAAGATGATGGATATGAACATCAAGAAGTGGTAAGACGTTGCCAAGGATCGCCGGAGACGCGATTTATGCCGAAGCTTGGAGCGAGGAGAGGAGAAACGAAGGTTTGCTGCCGAGGATAAGGTTGCTCAATAGAAGGAAAACAAGTTGACATCAGGGGAGAGCACCTTCACATACATTCATTGCAAATCGAGACAGTCATAACATATGCGGCACCGCCATCTGAGTCATAATTATTTGGGCGCAGATCCAAGGTTTCTCAAGACCGACGGATGCCCCCGCCACACACACACACACACACACACACACACACACACACACACACACACACATATATATACATATCTGTGTGTGTGCGTAGAGAATAATTAAAAATTTACGCAATGCTTAGATTCATTGTTATGCTTTTAAGTTCTCGATCGAATTATCAACAAGTTTTCCCTTAAATACTGTTATATTGCAATTAAGTATCGCTGCCGACACGTGTGTTTGAACATAGATCGCCAGTGAGCAAACACAGGCGATCCCATTATTGAATTAAGTAGGACATGTGACCATAGAGGAAACTTATTAGAAAATTAGCGTTTCTATTCTTTCCTCTATTACTATTCGGATCACAATTTCTATTCTATCCTCTATTACTATACGGACCGCTATTCTCTATACTATTTCACTATACGGATTAATATTCGAACAAGTATTATCGAGCAAGTACTATTAGTGCGTGTGATATTCGAAGGCGTCTGACACTAGTAATCTTCAACTGCGCACTATAGTTGTATCTGCGATTACAAAGTCTCCAACGAGCATTTACGAAGTGACAACCAGTAGTCGTTGACATCACAAAATGTGGCAATGAGTGTTTGTTGACATCACAAAATATACTAAAAGTTGTCTTACCTGAGAGCCCCACTAAATAAACAGGCAATAAAAAGCCCCGGAAGACCTTTCAGAAAACCAAGAATGTCCATTACATAGAGCGGTAATAACTGGAATTGAAAAGAAAATCTTATTAAAACAAATTCCATATTCAGAGGCAAATGTGCAAAGATGGTTTCCGAACATTTTTTTCATGACAAATGCATAAAACAGAATTGAACAACATAAAAACCAGAAAGTCACTTTAAAATAATAATAATATGGGATCGGATAAACTTTCGATCTTTTTAGGCATTCAGATCTGATGTATATAGAATACAGCAGGTTGATTTTTCACACTTTTTAGAAAATTAACATTGCACTCAATACAAAAGCTAGAGTTTTGTAGGATAAGTACTGACACCAAGAATTAGATTCATAGATTTTACTAATTTTTGAGCATTTAGGTTTAAAGATCATCTGTACAAAATGTACAGAAGTACATAATTTCCGCAGGTTTTTGCTAACAAACTGACTTCAAAATTTTACGATTTCAAGAATAAATTCAAATAAAGTTGATTTTTTTATATTAGATACATTGAATATAAAATATATTAAAACCAGAATTCTAATAATGAATCACAACGAGCAAAATATGCAAATATTTTACTCTATTTGATAAGTAAAAACTGTAAAAATTACAAAAAAGGCTAATCAATAAATAAGATCGTACATCATTTGTTAGGTCATAATTAATAAAAACAAAAAATAGATAAAAGTATATCTAATACCATAATACCGCTGGGCACAAATTATAAGACAAAAGGTTTTAAATTTGCAATGTTTATTGAAAATCGCACTAAAGCTAACATAACATATAACATCATAATATAGTTAAATTCTTCAGTATTATTTCATTTTGAAGTAAATGAAGGTCTTTTTTGATTGCACAATGATTTAGTAATAATGTGCATGTACCTTGCATCTTCTCCATTTTGTAAAGCTTCAGAAAATTATAAATTTTATAAGGCTGTGCTATAAGGTTTTCAACGGTCACAGGAATGAAATTCCAACGCTACAATTTTGAACTTAAACTTAATCCTTAAAGTCATTTCCTCAAAAAACATTAACAATTTGGAAAAATATTTTGTGTCATTATTTACTATGTGAAATCTCAGCTTTCAAATTGAGCGAAATACCACAATTTTAGAATCCACCTGCCCTAATGTAGAAAGCTGCTTGATGGCTTCCTCGATTTAATTTGCAGTTGAAATGTCTTTTCAAAGATTTTGTGATGAACATAGACCCATTGACTCTTTGAAATCTAAATCTGAACGCTTCTGGTTCTATTGTTAAACCAATTTTTGATTAGTTTTGCAGTAACGTCCAGGTGCATTACCGCGTTGACAAAACAACAAAGAATTTAGGAAATAATTTTTGGATGTTTGGAAGCAATCTATTCTGCAAAAGTTTCTGATTCTGTTTAGGTTTTAATAGCATCGTTTATTAAGTTCACCAAATGCATCTCCCACCACAGCACCGCCTCCGTTCTGCATTTAGGATTGAACCGGTCATAAAATCTACGAAAGCAACGTTCAAAAGCATAACATGCAGATTCAAATCTCTACTCATCAGCCCAGAACTCTTTTAAGTCAGTCTATGCATTCTAAAAAATTAAGCAGAGTATTAAGAAAGAGAAAAAAACTTCATTAGAAGAGCCACGATCGCCTACGTCCTGTGGGAACACAGCACATAAAGAAGAATAAATAACAGTATCGAAATTAAGTCGAAGATAGTATTTGTTTTACAGCTTCTGTCAGTTTTCTTATAATGAATCTTCTAGAAATCAGGTTCTGTCAGTTATTTTTTTATAATAGTTCTTCTGGAAATAAACTTTTGTCAGTCAGTTTTTTAAAACGGCTCTTCTAGAAACTATCTTTTTGCTAGCAATTCTGGACTCTTGTGATAATTTCAACACACTTCATTTTCTGCTATGAGGCACTACATATTTTAGCAGTTTATCATCTTTGTTTTAAATTCCTTATTTCAATAATGGATCCTGGTGAGTCATGCTTCTCATGAACAACTCCCGATAAAAAACAGAAGAGATTGGCCGTTCAGTTGAATGGGACACAACAAAAGTTTCACAGTTTATTTGTTACATTTCAAAAATGTAATAGCATTGAAAAAATGTAATAGCTTTGAAATCACGGCAAATTTCGTGATCACGCATACAATTTTATTAAAGCGAAAAATAAAGATAAATCTTTTAACTGCAATAATTAAATAATGAGCGAAATAAAAGAAATGAAAAGTGTGAAAAAATTAAGCTCTCCCGACAAAAAAAAAAAAAAAAAAAAAATGAATACATTGTTTTCTTTACAAACCTGATCAGCTTGTTGAACTAGACCATACGATTTCGGATCACATGTTCGGTAGAAGTCGTAAAGAACAATTCCAATGAGGCAGCAAATGTACAATATCATACAAAGTCCAGGGAAGTTCAGCCACAAAGCTCTGAAATATGCATAGAAGAAAAATAAAAGCACTTTAAATAACACATTTTAATCTAGGTACCGCTAAAAATGAGCATTCGTAATGAAAAAATGCCCCAAACTTAATATCATCAAAATCTTTGTGTTATTATTAAGAGAAAAGACTAAAAGATTTTTTAATGTAGGAATTATTTTTAACCCTTTTTAGAACGTTCTAAATTTTGGCTAAAAATGTTATTTTTTTGGTATCTATGTAGGACCATGAATTTGTACGGGAAATATGAGCGTTTTTTGCGGTGAAAAACACATTGATTTGGAAATTCTTGCAAAATTTAGATAACTGTCGGATTTTAATGAAACCTTCAAGACTTACTTACAAACTAGCAGCATGGCCCGGCGTTGCCCGTGCTTGATTCAAAAACGACTCATACAGCAATCGCTATCACTTGACTTAAAATATTTTTTCCCTTCCTTGGCTTTAAAGGAGTGCCCTTTGCCGTGCTGATGTTGCTACATGCCTTACTTCTTGCCTATCTCACACTGCGAATTTTTTCTAAGCTCTATACTAAACATTAAATCTGTTACGAAAAAAGAACTAAACAAAATGAACACAAAACGATCAGCTTTAAAAAAAGACTCCTAACTAGAAAAACCGAATGAAAAAAGAATGTTAAGAACAAATACTTTTTCACACCCAACCCAGTTCTGTGGAATCAAAATCAACGTTGAGTTTAAGCAAGCGAATGAGCCAATTGGAGTAAAGTGCCATGCAGATTTAAATTTTTTCCATTTGTGACGAATGCAGTTATCGATATTTTTCATGCTAGCATGCTAGTTAACATTCGTGTCAGTCACCTATAGGCTCTCACGCTGGCTAATAGAATCTTCCTGCCTATTCGTGGCAGCCAGTTATAGGCTTTCACTCTGGCCAGTACAAAGTGGCCGCAAACTACATGAAAACTGCCGTAGAAGTATGAAAAAATCGATTATTTCCACTATGGATGGGAAATGCAAAGTCGGTCTTGGCCTTCCCGCTAACTTGGAGCATGTGCATGTAAATTTTGGTGCAAATCCGTCGAAAATTGCGGCCGTGCATTCGTTACACACACACACACACACACACACACACACACACACACACACACACACACACACACAGCCTTTTATAGATAGAGATGAATGAAATTATTTTTTGAATATTTCATTTTGATAAAATGTATTTTTTACATCTTTTACCCCCTCCCGCTCACACACTTATTAAATTTTATGAAATTTCGAGAAATTATTTTTGTTTTGTTATTTTCGGAAAATTTACATCATCAAATTTATTTGGGAAAACTTGGTTCCCCCCCCCCCAGTTACAGAAAATCTGTTCTGAATCGTAAAATAAAAAATGCAATAAAACTAAGACATTATTTAATTCGAAAAGATTTTAACTGTTTTTATGTATAAAATATATTTTGGACAGTATTGTGTTACAAAACATTTTTTTCGATGGATAATAAATATTTACAAAAATGTTTTTCGTTGTTTTTTAAATTTTAATTATAATAATTTTTAAACTTTAAATCTTTTCAAATTCTGTATTAATCACTGAAGTGATATTTTTATTAAATAAAAACTCATCATAAATGGAAAAGCTTCCCGCCCGTGTTTTAAAAAGAAAGTGACCCCAATATTTTCCCCAAAATATTGAATTTTTTTGTGTATAAACCTAGCGATTTTTGTGAATATGGATGTCCAAGTGTGACATTATCAGAAAATAAAAGCGGTGATCATTGTAAATTTAAAATTTATTGGTAATTTTGTAACATTTCCTCAATAAACGTCTTAGTAACTAAAATTATTAGGCCAAAGTACCTAAAATTCCATAAAATATTAGAATACTTAACAAATTTAAAATTTTCAAGATTACTGGGTAGTTAAAAATATATAAAAAGACGTTTAAGTTGTATTCGTCATGTAATTTTTATACAATTATTTACCCCCTTACATAAAATTTCCAAATGTTGATTAATGTCAACACCACATTAAACACCTACCTCCGTGTTAAAAAAATGCTTCTCTGCGATATTTTAAACTAAAAGTAATATTTATTTCAATTCAGATTTATTAAACTTGAAATAAGTTAATCATTCTCAAATAACGTTTCAAGTATATTTTATTTTTGAAAGATTTCTTAATAAAGAGAATTATGTTGTGTTTAGAGGTTTGCCAATATGGATAATTTTATAGGTTTTACTGATAATCAAATAGGGTTTGAAATACAGCAAATTATTTTACTCATTGAAAATTATTAAATTTAATCCATAAGCTTGGAATTAAAACTAAAATAAAAATTTCAATGAAAATCTTTCATTTTTAAAATGCATTTTAAAAGTCAGGTAAAGTTTGATTTCTTTTAATTTTTAATCAGCCGCCATTATTTCGTTGAATAATTATAAGGGTAGAGTCACACGTTTTTTACACCTTTCCGCAACAGGCAACAGAATCAGTGTTAGGTATAGCTATATATTTACCCATATATAGCTGCATATTTACCCATTCAGGATGCCACTGAAGAGAGCAGGAGGTGCAGATGATACTGCTCGAGGTAAGAAGCGTAAATATACAGCTTTATCTATATATTAAATTCTGTGGCTTCCATCAGCCATATATATTGACCTATCGAAACCAAATTTTGGGGAGAAGTGCAAACAGGTACGGAACAAAGTACAGTTGGTTTTACTAGGGTGCGTAGTTTAGTACAATAAATTTGCACTAGTTTTTTTTTTTTAAAAATTAAAAATTTAACATACAAAATAATCCCACTATTTTAAACACAGTTAAATGATTAAAATAACAAATACTTATTTAATAAAAATACAATATTGTTTTTTTTTTTGGATATCTCTTCTTTAGATTTTTATATATACAAGAATCCAGTTTCCAGTTCACCTCGCGTTTGCGAGAACTAAAAACAAACCATAAGGTCAAAATTTGGCTCCAGAAGTAAATATTGACGCATGGCCAGTTGAATGTTGCATGCTCAAGAATAAGAAATCCTAAGAATTTTTTAAAAAAGAAAAAAAAAAATTTGTAAAAAAAAATTGTACCGGATTAGAGAGGTCAGATTGTATCGTGTTTTTTTTTGTGGGTATCTACTTTAAACTATATTAGAAAAGAAGAGCTGATTCCCTGTCTGTCACACGCTATCAGCATAGAATTTTGCATGTACATATCTCATGTGTATGTGTATTGTACGTAAGTGACTTACATGTGTTTGCGCCATTTAATGTATACACAGACACACACACACAGACACACACACATACACACCTAATTTGACAGAGTTTGAAATATGACATTGGAATAGTACATACCCCGACCCCACCCAGTTTCACAGGTTGAGTAATAAAATAAAGATGTGGACAAGAAAAAATAGCTATTTTTTAACTCCTAAAAGAATCAGATAATTATGATGTTTATTGAACATTTTGGAAATTATTCCGTAAAAAATAAATGTTTTAAAGATATTTTTAAATTTTGTAAAAAATATTTTTAGGTCTGTCAATGAATTAAAATATACACACCCACACACAAATTTCCGCGGACGCACAATTTGAGTTAAATAGAAATGGACATTTGTATCGTGCTTAGGAAGGTGGGTTGTGGTGTGTGTGTGTGTGTGTGTGTGTGTGGGTGTGTGTGGGGGTTACTTTTTTGTTTGGGTAGCAAAAAAAAGTATTTCAGCCGAAATGTCCGATCCTTTGAAATCATTTTTATAACTCCTGTTTTTAATCTGAATATCTTTCCGAATAAATATTGTATTCGGTCATTGCAGAAGCTCGTACCCGATTCGAAAATAAAAAGGGAAATTTTACATACTCAGTAAAAAAACATTCATTAGTCACGTACATAGTCTCCATTGTTGTTAGCAACTATCTCCCATCGTTTTATAAGTTTTTTGATGTCATTTTTGTAAAAAAAAAAAAACTCGTGTTTTTTTGCTGGAAGAAGATTGTGAGATAATTTTCGACTAACTGTTACAGTGTCAATTTTTTGTCATTTAAATTGTTCCGGAGAGACCGGAAGAAATAAAACTGAAAAATCCGAATGAACTAAGTCAGGAGAATACGGTGGATGCGGCAGGGTTTCAGCTTTTTAAATTTCTGCAAGACCAGATGATTCAAATCAATGTCGTGGAGGAAAATGACACCATTTTGATTTGCTAAAATCGGTTGCTTTTTTTGAATAGCCGCATTGTGATTTATGAGTTGGCCGTAATACTTCTTTGCAGTGATTGTTGCGTCGTCTGGAAGAAGCCCAAAGTAAATTATCCCTCTGCAATCTCACCAAACGTACAATCACACCTTCATTGGATACAGGCCCGCTTTAGCCACGGGTTTTGCACATTCACAAGCTTGTTTCCAGCTCCGTTTACGTGGAACGTTATCAGAAACAATCCTTTTTTTTACTCGCATGCAACAATTCTGAGCACGAAACAGCAAAGAAATCGCCATAGAAACGCAATCGAGCTTGTTTCGTTCCGTCAGAAATTGCAGCACTCACGTATCGAGTTTGGCAACGAACCCAGATCTCTTCAAAAGGTGAAAAGGCAGTTGAGATACAGATTTTCAAACTCTTATCTCTCCCGTCGAAATCTTCGGTCTGTTATCCACGATGGCAAACAGAGCGTCTTCATCGATGTCGGGAGGTCGCCCGGGGTGCGGTTGATCGTTTAAGTTAAAATCACCCCGACGATATCTATCAATCCACTTTTTGACCCCACGAGGGGCTGGAGCACGATCTAAATAAAAATTTCCGAGCGTCGTTTTTGCAGTTTTCGATATTCATAGAGCCTCATATGGCGAAAGTGCAACTTTTCATTCTCCATCTTTATTTCACTTATTCGTTGACAAAACGTCAATATTCAACAAAGTCTGACTCGCAACTGAACGATAAAAGGTTTCATTGTAGAACACACCAGAAAATGGCAACAAAACAAACGCCAATGTCAAGTTGCTGTCATTTAATTTTAAC